CAACGATCCACTACTAACTTATATAGTGACCGAAATCATCAACCACATATGACGAGCTAACATCGATACATTACATCTACCATCATGAATACATTAACAGGTGAATTATTAACTGTTATGACGTAGTTTTAAAACAATATTTTAAAACTATAGCTACCGATATGGTTACTTTAAACCCTTAGACGAAACTTGTCCTTGTGGATGCGTATTTATATCCGTCAGCTTTAACAAATCCAGCCTTTTCCAACCATATGCGATCCCCCTTGTAGCAAATCCATTCGAAACAAACTCTTACAACCTACTCTCATTTTAATTTTCATTATAAAAATACACACTTTATCGCGCTAATACGATCCTTCAAACCGTTATTTATCCAATCTTTTCCATCTTGTACACATCCCGGCACGCTTTATACCTAAGTACGACTACTAACGAAGTTAATCTAGATGTATTTACATTTTTACACACTTCCTGAGGATTATGGTTTCATGACATCGCTAAACTAAACAGAACTATGATGGGGCTACGCAAAGGCTTGAAATTTCATCAATGATCAACTGAGAGCACAGGGCTTTCCAAATACATTATTGGCGTTTTTCCCTGTTTCCTGACATAAAGAGATTCATAATTAGGCCTCCCTTTGATAATGGTAATTTAAGTTAAACCTCAGACAAGGCGGATGCAATCCATATTTATGACGCAAAACTTCAAGAAAAAGTAGCAGAAAGTCGAGAAAGGGGCCGGTGTAAGTACGATGTCTGTGCAATCGCATATTATAAGTAAGATTAGTTCAAATATAAGATGACTATCAAAATAAATTAACCGATCCGTGTAGTGAAGTCTTAATTTTATCCTTAAGAAAATTGCTGAGTATAAAATTATAAACAATTTCCGTAAGACTAACCCGTGCTTACGTTACTAATAGGTGCTAGTAACTAGTAAAATGTTCCCTAGAGTAATTGACTTGGAAATAGTGGTTTTTTTGGTTTGCGATTATTTTTATACTTAAAAGCAGTGCCGCTGTAGGGAATTGAAAAATTGGATCAGTTAATATCTAGTTCGGTTCGTTGGCTACGTTTGTAGAAAAGTAAAGCTTAGTTGGGATATTAAATTTACTTAGTTTAGAATACGAGATCTTAAACACGTAGAGTAAGGTATAGCCTACATTCATAAGAATAGGTAGTTGAAACGATACAATAAGAAATACCGCCTAATTCACTGAGACACGTTAGTTAACTTTAAAGAGGTATTGAAATTCTTTAAATGGAACAATTCTAATTAAATGTGCTGTAAAATACTTTAGGAGCAAAAAACAAATGGGGTGTATTTCTACGACTCGTTACGATTAAATCTAAAGCAATACTTACAAATGTCATGTCAACGTTTGTTCCCCAACACCAACTGTTTAAAATGAGCCTTATAAAATGCACACACACATGAATCCAAATTTATATAACACACACACTCTTCTAGGGCCTACCACCAATTTCAAACGTTTGTGCCGACAACCTCGGACATAAGTTAATAGTGAGTGAATTAATAGTAAGAAATGTGTTGACAAAATTAATAATTTTTCAATAAGGCACAGACTGTTTTTGACGAATATGGAATCAATTGAACAGCACAAACGTTATGACTTTCAGTATCGACTAATTCACCGATGGTAAGATAGTCGACACCGAGACCAAACACTACTCTACTCGGGCAAATAAAAATAAATAAAATAAAACACACAGTAAAACTGCAATGAACTGGTATTATTATAAAAAAAAGCAATTATACAACAAAAATAATTCAAAACAAAACGACGTACATTAATTTAAAGAACAATTGTTTATACAAATAATTAAAAAAAAAATAATATAATAATTATAACAACAAACATCGACAAAATATATTTAAAGACAAAACATATTTCAATTTTAATCAGTCCTCAAGCTTTAGAAATGCAATTTTAAGAATGAATTGTTTATATTTTTTTTTAATACAAAAAAAATATCCTTATATTATTATGCAAATAAAAGTTAAGTAATTGTGAATGAAAATTATTAAAAAAAAAATAATAATTAAACAGTAACCTAAATTAGCTTCCAAAGTTAATAAAAAAATCATTACTGTCATAATAAATCATAATAAAAAAATAAATGGAATTATATTGATACAAATGAAATGCGAAAGGAGCAATTGTCATAATTTGCATATCCTTACATAAGATTTCAATACACTACATTAAAGGTACTTAATATAAATATAATAAGATGTATGTCTATTGAGAAAGATTTAGATTTAAAGCGTATAAGCCAGATTACTCATTCGTTGAAATCACAACACAAGATCTGTCACTTAACGAATGATTTATTTGGGGGTTGATTCTACCACAGCTACGGATTTAAAGGGCAATGAACCTTAGAATATTCAAAAACAGTACAGCAAACGCGTTGTTAATTAATATAAATAGGTTCATCGACCCCAAAAATCCAAGGTAAAGCAGATACGATGGTAAATTCAGATATTTGACTTATTTAAATAATTTTATTATCACAATAGATTAAGTGAAATAAAACATAAAATTCAATCTTACGAAAGACAATAATTTACTAGGAACAGGGGAATCTATACTTAAGAATCATTGGTGGTACATCACTGAATTTTGAACCCTAGATATTGGACGAATTCTACTTCACCTAATCTAATGGTTAACGGTACTTAATACCTGATCGAAGACACGTCACATGAGAAGCATCCTGAACGCGCCGATGTCGCGAAAGGCAACAGTCGTAAAAAATCGTCAAGAATCGACCTTAAACGTTCCACGGTTAGCGCAAGATATTAATAACAAAAAAATAATAATAATAAAATAAATAAATAAGTGTTGGCATTAATTGTAAACAAAACAACAATAAATTCATAGGTCATACGAATACATGAAATCCATCGAGATAACGGTCTTGCACTAACGCATAGATACGGTGAAAACATTGAGGAATATCGGTTGGTTAAACTTATTTAATAAAATCAGCTGATTATTGTACATATTTACAAAAAAAAAACAATACTAAATATCACTTATTAGATCACAACATGGTTGTATGGCACGTGTTCTGCAGGTATTGCATAGAGCGGGTTCAGATGCTATCATAACTGACGTGGCTTCAATATGTTAATATATATACCATATAAATTATTACATAACACAGGAATATCACCAAAATAATATATCGAACTAAATGAAAAACATATGCAGATCGTTCATTAAGAATCGATCTCCGATTACGGAGCGAGGGGTGTTTCAGATCTTAATTGTCATAGATTCAGCGAAAATAATAATATAGTATACTAAAAACAATTATTAACTAAGAAAAATCGAAGCTAATGAAATCAAACTAAAATAATTCAGCTAACACACTCAAACACACGGTAATGTAATAAAAAATAATAATAATAATAGCATAATATTCATAAAGTACAGAAAAAATAAACGTTACACATGCACCGTATAATACTACTGCTACAAAAATAAGTTGTTTCCATATAAAAATATCTTACCAGAATAACAAATTGTATAATTATTTTGTATACCGAGCAAACTATAATACTCCAGTAAGTAGAAAAAAAAACGCAAAATATTAAAAACGCATGGTGCTCCAACTTCTTAAAATCTCAAAAAATATCAGCAATAAAATAAAAATAAAATGTCTAGCGAGACGACAATTTACTAAGTGCTCTACTAGTTACTACCGTGTCCAATTCCTACAAAAATATTCAAATACCTACTTAAATTTGTATAAAAACGAACAATATTATTATCAACCAAGAGTTACTAAATTGTTAATATTAAAACAACGAAATTGAGGAATTATGGGTCCGTGGGCTCTCAGTGACTAGGCGGTAATGACGTTATCGGTCAAGATTGGGAAACACGTCTTAATAATATCGATTAATTAAGGATAAGAACTACAACCGTCTCTATTTGTTAAGTCTAAAATGCTTTATAATACTCAAGGTTATTATAATTAGTCAAAAGACCGGCGTTAAATAAAAATTTGGAAACTGACTGAGGTCTTTATAAAACATTTTGGAATACTTGCCATTTCGTAATACAGAATGTATTTCTATTTGTTTACGAATGAACGGTAGGTTTCAAAGAATGCGTTATTTCCTGGAGGACCTACCGCTGCACGTACAACACGTGCTAAGAAAAGATCGCCGCAGTCAACTGTGTCATTGATAAAACCCCTAACATCACATTTCCCTAAATTTTGTAACTACGTTATAAGGGGTAGTAACTAAAGATTGTCCATATCAGCTCAATCAATTTAACACTTACCTAATAATAATGTAACAACTTCTTACTTAGTTTCATAATTATGTTTCCATCGACACAGAATAAGTGCTAATTAAAAACAGGAAGTGCCATTGTGCCGAAGAATATACTTAAACTAACAACAATACCGCTCGATGCTCTCTTATTACAATAAAATCACACGCTTAACGCCTAACAATTTTTAAGTAATAATAGTTAAAATATTGGTCCAACAAATGGGCTAAATAATACAGACGCCCTTAATATTCATCCCTAATTTAACGATGCGGGATATGAAAAAATATTATTCAATAGATCAAAAAATGATAGGGGTCGAGAACCTTTCGTTTTACTGGATCGAACCAACGGAATAATCTCTATTCATCAAATAGGTACTCATATTATAACAATGTCAATACTACAACTAATCTCAATACAGTTTCTTTATCGTTAGAAAACGGATCCGATGATCTCATGCCAAAGATTGAGAATTCCCATATTACAATGATCACATCGAGACAGCCACAATCATTCGCACTTATAGTCCTTCAGTGTACCATTTGTCCTTGATCGTCACTTTCGTTTATAAAAATTGACACAAATGTCCAAGAACTGTAAACTATTTACATCTCAGTATGTGGGTTTTTGGCTTAGAGGTCGTCGGTCACTCTTTTCTTCGATTGTCTTGTCTTGAGGCTCACATACCTATAGGCGGAACTTGCACGTAGCGGTAAATGTAAAGCCGGTAATCTTTGCTGGCGAGCACGACTGAACCGTCGTCCATTAAAGCGACGTCGAAGCACTGGGCGTGTTTAACTTTGCTTTCTAAAGCGGACACCAGCTGACCATCCTGGGTGAATATCGTCAAATTGAAGTTGTTATGGTTATCAGCGATCAGTATGTCTCCAGACGCGTTGATGCCAACGCCGATGGGGTAATTTGTCACTCCCTCACCACCGATTTGGCGCAGATAAATACCTTCGTAGTTAAAAACTTTTACGCAATGCGCGCGATTGTCACTAATAAATATTTCCTGTTTGTCGTTGACCACAACACCGTTGGGGAATTCTAGATGTTTTGAACAACCAAACTTTTGTAAAACGTTACCAACTTGGTCGAAGATGATGACGCGCATTACTTTGCACTCTACGACAACGATCCTTCCTTTGTTGTCAACTGTTACGCCGCGAGGATGTTGAAGAATATTGGCTCCAAATTTCCTTACAAATTGACCATACTGGTTGTAAATCTGTATTTGGTGTGTTGGTGATCTTTCAGTTACAATTATGTCACCTGAAGTTCTCACTACCGCGACTCTATTTGGATACAGAAGTTGTCCATCACGCTTACCGCATTCACCGAATTGGAATTTAAACCTTCCTTCCTTGTCAAATATTTGAATTCTATGGTTATTAGTATCAGCAACGATTATGTCGTTTTGAGCGTTAACTGCAACGCCACTGGGTTCGGTAAATTGACCCTCCATTACACCGAACTCGCCGAATTTACAGTGATAAATCATTTTCTGTCGCTTAATTTGAGACTTTGGTGGAAAAATGGCAGTGGATATCAACTTATTAGTTAAATCAAGAATGGGGTCATTGTGCGCAGCCGCTGTTAATGAGTAAGGATCAGTAGTGGTTGGTGGGAACAGTGTGTCGCAGCCACCGTTAGACCATTTTTCATATGGATTTATTCCGTTCAGATTAATTTCTCCAATGGCAGTAGAGAACGGCCCCAAAGTGTTAGGACTGTTAAATCTTTTTGAAATAATGTTTGAATCAAATGGTGACGTTGACTGACTTGTCGGTCCGAGTAGTCCGTTGGTGTAAGGGCGATCTAGAACGCCGTTTAATCCTGTAGGTAAATGAATACCTCCATTGAGGCTGCCAGAACTTCCATTTACGCTGCTGCTGCTTGATGAAGAACCTCCGTTCAATAGGGATCCATTTGTTGGACGAGCGATAGGCGGTTGTTTAGTGGGTCCGACATTAGCTTCTGAGCTTGAACGAACATATCCAAAGGTGTTCCTTACTCCGACTTGTATTGCCTGATAATTGGATACAAATTCTAGTTCGCACGCAGTTTGAACGCTCTGTTCTGGATTAGTGCTCATTAAAGATTGCAGTTTAGTATCTAACAGTTTTCTAAACATGAGAATTTCAGCGATGTTTGCACACTTTGTCAATCGCTCCACGAAATCGCAGGTTTGATAAATTTTCTCAACAGTTTCTTGAGCTTTTTGTCCGACAACAGTCAAAGCAATTTGTTTAGTAGAGAAAACACTTTCGAGTTCTTTAAGCAATTCTTGCTTTCTTTCTTCTAGCATTGAGCGATAGAATTGAAACGTGTCATTGATTTCATTTTGAGCTTTGTGATATTGAACTTGTAATTTTCCCGCTGCATGTTCTACCGTTTTCACCACGTGCCTTATTTCGGTAGCACGAGATTTAGCTTCGTTGACTGCTTGCTGCATAAGCTCTAGCTGTTTAGGTCCAGCGTCGGAGAGATGCTCGCAGTCGTGTAAGGTTGCTGGATGTTCGATAATGGTACATTCTTTGCACACTGGCACTGAGCAAGTACGGCAGAAATACTTCAGTATATCATTTTTATGTCTTGGGCAAAAAGCAGTCTTGTCCCCGCTTGGGGTGAGTGAGCCGAGCATGCCTTTATCGTCTTTCAGGTCCGTGAAGGCAAGAACCCTATGGCCTTCGAAACAATGCATGAATTGGTGTGCCATGACGCAATTAGGACAAAGGAAGTTGGCGCAATCTACGCAGCGCGCAACAGCGTCGGATTCTTTTGATTTGCAGCCGGTGCAGCGAGCTGAAGGCGAGGCTGTCTGACGTGCAGTTGGCAAAAGATCAGCGTCCTGCTCGACCGCGGCGGCGATTACAAGGTTAGTTAACAGGCCAGGCACACCCGCTGGTGGCAGCTGGCTGTCTACGCGACACGTGACGCAAGTGACTTTCTCGGGATGAGTTTGTTCCCGCTCTAGGCACCCGCGGCAAAAAGTGTGAAAGCAATTGAGTACTTTGGGGTCGACGAAAGTCTCTCGGCAGATAGCGCAGGTGGTGTCGAGGACGTCGAACTCGCGAAGATCACATACGGCGGAATCGCTCGCAGGGGGCGAGGATCCGCTCAAAGTCAGGGGCGATAAGGAGCCACGCTCCAAGGAACCTATAGAGTTGGCACCGGGCAGCGACTCAAGGGACGGGGTGCGTGAGGCCATCTTCAGGAAACCAGCATCCCTGGAAATAAAAACGATTCCTTAGTATTTATATTCCCTCAAAGTTTATAAGCAAAGATTTAGTATGTATGATAAATATAAGTTATTTATAAATATCGCTATCGTGGAGAACGTTTTTCAACATCAACGAAACGTGGCGCTAATATAAATATATCAGTCTCAAAGATACGACATCATTTTGTTACTCTCGAAACTTATTACATAACATATACTCTAAGGAAATAGGTTATTTTTTAAGATGGATAGTCAAATTCAGCGGCGATAGATTGTGTATATAACTCCGAGATATTTGATCTCAGCCCCAAAATCGGATATATTATAAAAAATACTTTGAACGCTATAAGATTGTGAAATGATTTTATTAATCGCCAAACACAAAGCGTCCACAGTTCTTATACAGCAATACATCTAACTGAGTTCGTATTTCGTGAGATACAGTGACGTAACATGTCGGGAGAATCATATTTCTTTCTAAAAGGAAGTCAGTTATATCGAGTAATATTTCCAGTTGGGATTATTCCCGTACATTAGCGGCGATGACTTTTATTTGTTGGAATTCTTGCGACATTCTTTTCCGTTATGTTATTCTTTATTGTACTCGTATGATTTATATTCATAACTATAAATGATTCTAAATTGCTGAAAATGTATCAAAAGTCAAGACTCGGCATGTGTATTTCAGTTTGTAAATATATAAAGAATATTTAAATGGTTTATAATTTATATATATTGCCATGCATACGCTTCCGATGTAGTGTTTGTATCAAAGTGACGGAGGAGTAATAATGAGGAACGTATACAATTACTTCGATGACATCGTAAAAACCTTTAAAATGCTTGTATTGATTCTAGATTTATTGAAATTCTAATTTGAATTAGACTTCAACACTAGATTTCAACTTGAATATTATGGTTAATTTTTGTTCATTTTTACAATATACTTTTAGTGTTAATAGATGACAAGTAAGCTTCAATCCAGAACCAAAATAATAATCCAAAATACAGATAAATTTTAACCACATCAGCCTCATAATTCAATATCAGCGTCGCATAGAGGTAAATCATTTTTGTTGGCGCCCGGTAAGTGATATGACGTTAAATGCATTTCAAGGGATTCGCAATGTATGCAGCCGATAAAATGTATATCATTTTTCACTTTATATCCACTACAGAATAGATTTTGACAAAATTAAAGTTTCACACATAATTTATAAGGTATACCTACCCTGTTCATACAAATTAAGGCAATGAGAAATTTAAAATTCTGAAGTCAAACCTTTAGTCAAACGATGTTGACGAATTTCGTGCGTCATATAATTTAGGTTACACGGCTAGAGCTGTAGCGAACAGCATGTTAGCGTTATTTTATATTTTGCAAAATAAACACTCTTCTGCAAGGTAAAGATCGATATTTCTGTTAAGATGGGTGCGACCCCTAATACCTTATTTTATGGGGTCCGACCCGAGGGTGCGAAATACATTAATAACAGTGAGAGACTTAGACTGCATGAAATTGTTTAAGTTGAATTCTTAAAAGAAAAACATTGCTGTAATATTACGAGAGACAATGAAAATAGTTTAATTTTTGTTTAGGAAGCAAGGAATATTCCTTGTTTCTTTTACAGTGAGGAAGAGATCATTATCTATTTATTTATATTACTATTCCATTCAAACTAAATGATATGTCGGGATGCAATAGAGGGCAGCGTTGCTTAGCAACGGTAGTGTGGCGAGGGAGTGACTTAGGGCGAGGGTTGATAATTTTGGATGAAGGGGAACTCGTGAGGTGAATGTTCGATGCGTTTTTATTGAGAACACCAAAATAAAAGAATCAATAAGCAGTGAGTGAATTGTCGTAATGAGCTATTGTTTGCAGTCGGCTAGAGTTATTTCATTGTCGAAGACTCAATTAATGCCTGCATTGTATAAAGCTGCCGTGTACTGAGTGATGTACATTGTAATTGATGAATAGGTGGAATTCAAATACCTAACAATACATCACTGGAGGCCTATCCGTCTAATTCTGGATGGGTTGCAAGTTTGCCAACGGAAAGGCAACACGTTAGGGTTGTCCGCTCTTAATAAATTAAACGTCTTTAACAGCAACGCATAGAAGAGTGCTTGAATATAAATGGATAAATTATTAATATTTCTCTTTCTCTCGATTTTTCTTTTTTTGATTAAAATCTGAGTTTTCCCAAATATCTTGTTCCAATACGTATCCTGATCTCATGACGAATTTTTTATACCACATTATCTGTTTCAATTTAATTTATAAACTTAAAATAGCCCTTAATTAAAGAAATATAAAAGATTTGTCAAAGAACGCTAGTATTATATATGATATATCAACAATATTTTTTGTCCTCGTATAAGTTAAGTGTCAAGAAAATATACAAAAATTGTTCATAGACTTTCCTAATGAATTAAACTAGATGAAACCTATTAAGGGATGTCAATTAAAACATTAAAATATTAATAGTATCCTCGCCGTCTGGCTTTTAATAAAATTAAACTGCTAGCCCTTAAACGTACATGAATTTATGTGATAGACGCAAACTCCGCAATACATTACACCAGTCCCACGTGACGGCTCGATCGGCAGTGCGTCGGTGCATACGAAATGACTGAACACCAATATGGACCTTATACGTTCATTAATTACAATGCAAATCATATGAAACAATATACATATATTACAATACACTATGCTGATCGCTGTACCTGTATATTTGTCGTATTCGATAATACCGGTGTGAAACAAAGGAATGAAACTTTTTTCACCTAACCGGGTCCGTGTATTTATGATAGTTGTGCGTACATAAACACGCACACACAGACAGTATAATAAATTGCATAGACGAAGGTACCCGGCACTGTTAATGGCCATTACAGATACCAGGCCATTATCACCGCAATAGTTATTATCGCTAGAGGCTATCTTCGCGTGAAGTTATTGCATTGATAAAATGTAACCACGGCATTCACCTCGGTCTCATTATTGATTGCTCAGCTCAGGGAAGAGCCGAGTTATTCCTTTATAATAAATAAACATGTATTTTTATTGAGCAATGTCGAATTGTTAAAGTATAAAAGTAAAACCCTGTTTAAGTTGGTGCTTTGTATCGACTCGTATTTCAGGTACCGGCAATTGTTGAAAATTGTATGGCATTGTTGACGACAAATCTACGGAAAAGGGTACTGCTCACTTTCGTGTACAGAAACTGGAAATGTTCGGAATTGATTTGATTAAACGACGAATATAGATTGAGATGTTGAATCGAGTTAAGCGAAAAGATTCAAAATTTTGATTTAAAAACAGTTTTAACTTATTCAACCCTAGTTTGATTTTAACCGAGCCTTCACTGAGGCCGGTGAAAACTTTCAAACTTTGTAGGGCAAAGTTTAGCAGCTAATTCCTGGGAGAGTACCAATGAAAACCGACCATACAACCCGTGTCAACATCACAAAGTTGCCAGATTTCCACGTTCCCCAACTCCAGGGAAAAGAATGTAAAAGAATTCTCAAGTATTGCCGTGCTTCCAGTATAGTAAGATCTCCGAGGGGCAATAGTTGTTCTGTCGGGACCACATTAATTGCGATCGGACCGAAGCGGATTACGGCAGCCCAAAAGGTTTTCCGAACTATTGTAAATCAGAATTGCTGATGAGGGAATTTCGACTCAATATCCACTTGTTACAGCACAAAATCGCTTTTATCTGAAATTTGACAATTGAAAGCTAGGAATTTCGAGACTAGATATGTGGTCGGAAGACAGGTGTAAGGTGGAGTTGGGAATAACTTCCAGCTATAAATTAATACCTTGGGTAAGTAAATTTATGACGAATATCAATACTAAGTAGCTTAGTTAAATTTAGCGCACACTGCTAATAAGGCGCAAGTGTATGAAGTTAAAATGTGTGTGCGGAAACGGAAATCGTTGAAGATTAAAAATGACTCACCAGAAGTTGTATTTCTTCGGCGCGTGAACAACTTAAGCACTACATTTCCTAAGATGTCTGTAACAATTTGAACATAAAGGAAGCTAAGACGATAATAATCCCTTTAAGACGCAAACAATTTTGTTTTAAAGTAATTTTATTATGGTAGAGGTATATCGTTTGATAGTGCAATCAAATAATTCGTGTGTTGCAATGTTAAAATTGAAATTCCCCAAAGTACACGGTAATGTTAAAATTCATGAGAATATGTCGCGGACACTGAACATATTTTTCGCTGGCAACACGGCTTTTATGACGACACGTAATTCTTTAATGCATATCGCGTGGTTTTGTGGTATCAGTGTTAATTTTTTTGTCACTTACGTAATACTACTTTTGGATGTGTAATTTTAAGTTTATTTTAATGCAGAACTCATAGTTCTCCAATTAAAAATTCCAAACAAATTAACATGATTATGTGTGATTAATATCATATAAAGTAAATAATCCATCATTATAATCTACCGCAGTTGATCATTCCCCGCAGATACCTCAACGCGTACACAGAATTTCATAATAAATGTTAACTTTACAAATATTCCATCCATATAAAATCTGGATTAATTTTTACGACTCCCAAATATCTTTAATGCTGGTAAAATATTCTTTTGACGTCCTAATCTATACTTATAATGGAGTGACGTTTTGTTTTTGAGAAATTAAACGATTGTGCTCTCGTTTTAATAAGAATCTTTTGTTTTATTAATGTGGAATGGACTTTTAAGGGTACGTTCTTTATTAGAATATTGTTATTTGTATATTGTTTTTTATGACTTTGTGAGTTTTTTTTATGAATTGAAATATAATAGGGTATCATTAAAATTCTAGCGTGAATAAATCAGAAGTTCAAATTAATTTAAGATTTAGACTTTTGAATGCCGGTAAGTGTGGGAGTGTGTTAAATTATATTAAATACACGTTTTCGGTCTTAAGACAGTAGTCTTATAAATAAGTAAAAACCTTATGAATTTTAAGTCATCATCACGAGCCTATCAGAGCCCACTGCTGAGTAAAGGCCTCTTTCTCACATGGAGAAGATTTGAGCATTACTCACCACGCTTGCTCAAGACGGGTTGGTGATATCAAACTTATAATTTGAAATTATAAGTCCAGGTTTCCTTACGATGTTTTCCTTCATCAGTTAGTGGTGTCTAAATACTCTTAGAAAGTACATATAACTCGGAAAAATCACATTAGTACTTGCCAGGATCGAACCCGCGCCCTCGTGTACGACAGGCGGGCCTTCAACCTCTAGGTCACCACGAGTTTTAAGTAAACAATTATTAATATTTATTAATTATTATTATTCACTCTGAAAATTATTGTAGTTTGAAGACGATATTAAATAAACTTAAATACTCCCAAACGCTTCAACATATCCTATGCACTAATATTAGGTTCTTTTATACTAAAAATAATATCAAAATTACGAATTTTTTGCTTCTAATGAAAATCCATAGCTATGAAGTTTCTCTTCAATATTGTATGTAATGTGAAAGTTGTTCAATAACTGAGATGCAAATATCGTCCCTTGTAAATAATGTATGAAGGAAAAAATATTGAGACACGGAACGAGCTCCACAACTGGCTTTGACGTGACTTATAAATTTTATACTTATTATATTGATATTGATATTAATTAAATAATTATTTAATAAGGAAATATTTACATATATACGGTTTCTAGAATTCAAGTATCAAAAAATATTAATCGACTTCATATAAAATGCATAACTTTTTTTATTTATTTCTTTCATTTAAATCAAGGACGCTAGTACAAAACTAAATACTTCTCATATTTGAAGTCGGTCAATAAAACTAAAATTTACATGAAGCTACGTATTCGTAGCCCGTAGCTCGTCTACGGTGCTACGAGGTCTATAAACGCAATTCTAACTGAATCTTCTATTTCTAATACAAGTACATTTGAGTTCATTTGAATTCATTTAAACATTATACATTTAGTAATAAGTAACATTTATTAGGTAATTCATAGTTTTTGGATTATGCAATATAGAAGAAATATAATAGAGATATATTCATTTAATAATATATATATATATA